ATCACTACGGAAGTAGATTGCCCAACCTTCCTTCCGAGGAGTGGCTGGTGGGTTTGAACCGCCAGCCTTCTGGTTAGCAGTCAAATGCCTTAGGCCCTACGCTACCAAAGCTCCTTCCCTTTACACAGCAGTTTGTTTATTCATCTGCAAAATAAAAACTAATAGATTCCAGCTGTTGGAATAAAGTTGTGGTCAAGCCAATGGCAGAATGATAGGTTTTCTGGCCTGAAATGCCTCCAGTGGAGATAGGAGTGGTGGTTAGTCATTTTCATCCCAAGTGAACTCAGGCCAAGAACAGCCAGTACTGTGTTGGGTACCCTTTGAAAGGGGTGGGATTGTTTTTCTCTGATCTACTGACACTGATCATATACTTCAGGATCCAGTGAAATTTAAACTTACGTTTTAGAACTCTTTTTTGGCAGGCACCTGAATTATTTAAAAGTAAACTTTGGAAAAAAAACAACTAATGGTAGTACATGGAAAATTACTGTGGTCTAGGCTGAAAAGTTAGACCTCCTTAGGAATCAGACAGCCTTGCTTCTGTTTTCTTCATACCTTTGCGATCAATTACATGAGAAAGACATTCCAGTTATGGCAGAGGTTGAAGAGGCTAGGAGGGGCAAGACCACCTAAGAGTGGGTTCTGTTCTTCTTCCAAGGAAGTGTAGGTTCCTCTCTACAAGTAATAAAGGAGCCTGGGGGATCAACTCGACAGCAGTGAGTTTGATTTGGCTTTTTGGGGGCCATACACTAGATTGCAGTAGAAGATTGACCTCCAGAGATGTCAAACTTTGTCCTTAAGGGAATATAGAAAATGTCACTTTGTAGTCCTAGAGAATTAATCTGAGGGTGAGTTGTGGGATTCTTTTTAATGTGTGAATCCAAATAGAGGTACGAATTTGGTTTTGAGAAGAGTAGTCGAGGTTGACTGTTGTATGTTGGAGCTGGGGAATGAGCCATTGTAGTCACATGTGCCTGTGAAATCAGAGGGCCTTTGTGTGAGCCATTCTTCTTCTCTTGGGAATGTGGAAGAAGCCTACCTTTTATTAGACTCAGATATTTTTATTCATCATCTTTTGGCAGCGTTCCTTTCTGCTTATCCCACGCCTTTCCCATTGCTATAGTCAGACATTGAGAAAGATGATGACCTGAGTATTTTGTGAAATATTTATTATTTAAACTTTCGAAGTTTATTCTTAGAATATTGCCCTATGCAAAGTACCTTTCCAGAACTGAGTACTTCACCTTTTCTCAAAAGGAGATTTGGTGATAAATCCCATTCAAAAATGCCATTAAAAATGTAGTGACCAGATCTGGATCCCACAGAGCTTTAGACCTGTTGCCATGGAGGAGTGTAATCTCAAATCAGGATTTGCCCTGATGGAGTAGATTGCTGAATAATTCTGTAGTACAGACCCTTCTGACTATGCTTAGCTATTAATTTTTTTAAAGTAATTTTTCTCTCTCCCTATTCCCTGTTTCCACTTTCTAGAAGTTCAGGCAGTTCTGCTCACTGACATTTTAGTTTTCCTTCAAGAAAAAGACCAGAAATATGTCTTTGCGTCATTGGTAAGCTGAATTGTTATTCTCTTCTGTTTGTAATTAATAGTATTATGAGTAGCTAAGTAGTATTAGGTGTAAACACTGTAATATTTACCACCACCACCCCCAATCAAAATTAACTGGCTCAAGACAAATGCCTCTAAGTAGTTTCTTGTACACCCTCACAATTTTCTACTCTTCTCCCCCCACCAGGAAAAAAAAAAAAATCCATTTTTCTTTAGCCTCACAATCCTTTAGTGCATTGGACATTTAACAATTTAATCTTACAAAAAAAAAAAAAAAAAAACCTCTGTCAATGGAGTCTTCCTTGCGTGTTAGGCCCCATAAATTGCGTTCACGTACATTACTGGTGATCCGATTCTGTGGACAAACTGGAAGGATGGATCATGCAGAAAACATGACTAGAACCTTTAGAGTCATAAATTATCATTTCCCTGTTAGAAATCTTTTTGTTTGATCAAATTTTCATTAAATAATGGGGCATATCTCTTTATCCAAAAGCTGCCATTGTTTGTTAAACCAGATGCTTTTAGGATCTTACCTTAGATTGCATTTTCCCTTGTTATTGTATCCATTTCTTGTATCTGTCCTCTGTCCCTATTCTAGGACCAGAAATCAACAGTGATCTCTTTAAAGAAGCTTATTGTAAGAGAAGTGGCACATGAGGAGAAAGGCTTGTTCTTGATCAGTATGGGGATGAAAGATCCCGAGATGGTAGAAGTCCATGCCAGCTCCAAGGAGGAACGGAACAGCTGGATTCAAATCATCCAGGATACAATAAACACCCTGTAAGTGAAAACTCCAGGAGCCCATCCTCCCAGACTTCATACTGCCTCTCTGCAATTTCATAATCGTCTGGGCAATGACCAGAGTAATTAACATCTTGGGCATTTTTTGTTTTGTCTTCGTTGTTTTAGGAACAGAGATGAAGATGAAGGAATCCCTAGTGAGAATGAGGAAGAAAAGAAACTGTTGGACACCAAAGCCCGGGAGTTAAAAGGTAATGTTGTTGGAAATGGTCTGAGACCCTGGTCTGTGGAATGTCTTCAGTTGCAGAAGACTGTTAGTGGTTTCCAGAGTTACTTGCTACTCCTGACTTCCAAAGCTGTCCCAGCAGGCACTTGAAAACAGGGAAATTAATCTGTTTTAAGTCTCCTGCCAGTCCTTGACTTTATCCATTAGCCTCTTCCACTGTTTCATGCCTTCACAAATGAGTTTTGAAGTGTTTAAAGTGTTTCAGTGAAAAGAGTACTTACTGATAATGTTTAACTGCCATTTATTGAGTATCTACTGTTTATGTCATCCTGTCAACATCCCTGCAAGACAATTTTTTTTTCCTTTTCTTGTCTACCTTCTTAAAGTTATTGTTCACCTTGTAGACCAATCTATTGTTTGAGTGAAAATTTAGCCACAGGAGTGAGTTCAGCTCCAGGTCCAAAGGGTGACCAAGGGCCATAGTATCGGGCTTCTACCAGTCTCTATCCAACCAACAAGACTGGTCTTTTTTATAATTTTGAGTTTTGTTCCATATTTTTCTCCCATTCTATCCAGCCTTTTCAAATGTGATCCCTCTCAGAGCAGTAGGTAGTGGTAGCCAGGTACCATCTAGTTTGGTCTCAGGCTCCATTAGTCCTTCAGACTAATTGCTTCCATGTGTCACTCTTCTTTGCTCCAGACAGGGAGGAACCTTAGAAGACAGATATTCTTACCCCCATTGTACAGATGAAAAATCTGAGAACTACAAAGGCTGAGTACCCCAGAGCCATATGTCTAGTTAGTGCCAGAGCCTGGTGCTCTTGCCTCTTTGCTGGTTAGCTATTGAATGTTCTGAAGTAAGTAAAGACCCTGCTTTGGGTAGAAATAAGGCCCAGAGTAAAATTTAAGCACCCAAGAAGTTTAGTTAGTCCTTCAGGTTGTGCACAGTGATTTTTTATTATCTCTAATTCTGTTTCTATCAGTGGGAGAAAAGATGATAGACAGATTTAGACTAGAGCCAGTTACTTTGCATTTACTTATTTTAAAACTTCCTCCTGTTAACATTAGTTAGCACTTGGCCAGGCATACTTCTAAATGTTAGGGTTGCAAAGATTCCAAAACAGTCCCTACCTTAGGAACCTCCTAGCTAGTAAGGGAGACATAACATAAATCTCAGACCACAGAGTAATACCATAGCACAGATAAAAGTGTGTCAAAAGTCTGAAAAAAAAACAAACCCACTGCTATCGAGTTGATTCCAACTCATAGAGCCCGCCATTGTGTTTCCAAGGCTATATATCTTTATGGAAGTAGATAACCTCATTTTCCTCCCATAGAGCAGCTGGTAGGTTTGAACCGCTGACCTTCTGGTTGGCAGCCAAATGTCTTATCCTCCATGCCACCAGAGCACCATTAAAAGTGCATGAGGCCCACTACCTCTGCCTTTGGTAAATCTCACAGAGAAGCTGATAGATGAGCTACATCAGAAAACACTGTTTCACCATACAAGACTAGTTGTGTGCAAAGGTAAGAAAGGACCTGACATTTCTGCCAGTGAGTGACAGGTTTGGTAGGAGAAGGGTGTTGGGACGAAGTGATGGGAGATAAAGGTGGGAAGACACTAGGTCTCAAAAGGGAACAGAGGGCTCCTAAAGAATTTTACTCAGAGGAATGATACAATTTTCTGAAAAAGAAAGATTTTAACATGTTTATGCAAATTGGGAGAATGGCTTGAGGGATTGGGGAGGCAGTAGAAATGGAAAGAGTAACTGGGAGACCCTTGGAATAGCTTGCATGAGAAATGGGCTAAGAGTAGCTGGATGTGAGTGAGAACTAAAGCCACCAAACCTGGTACGCTTGATGTGGGTGGTAGGACAGAAGGAAGAACGAAACCGCTCCCAGGTGCCCAGCTTGCATAACCTGGAGAAGGAAGATGTGGTTGACCTAGAAAGAGATTACAGGCTAAAGGAAAGAAAGAGGAGGGATGGCAAGAATGGAGGACGGATTGATTTCTGATAAGCTGCAAGTGAGGCTTTCCGTGGATTTGGCCACTGACAGTAGACCTAGTCATTGCTTCCCAAAGAGCCGAGGGTGTGTTTGGGATGTTGTCTTGTGAGTTCTCAGTATACTGGAAGTCATTGAAGCCACGGGGTGAATGAGATCCCCAAAAGGAAAATATGAAAGGTATAGGAGACAACTCCCAATGGAACCGAGGGAACCCAGGTCTTGCACTGAAGATAACAGAAAATAATGTGTCCCGAGAAAGAATGATAGCAAGAGAACCAGTGATGAGCTCAAACAATTTCAAAATGAGGGAGTAATCATCAGTGCTGGAAAAGATCAAATAAGAGACCTCATTGGATTCAGGAAAGAGCAGTTGCAGAGGAGTGGGGGACAAAAATCAAAGAGCAGAGGTTGAGAAAGCAACTGGAAATAAGGGAGTGGAGGAGTTCCTTTGAAGGCACAAACAATTAAGCACTCAGCTGCCAACTAAGAGATTGGCAGGTCAAGTCCACCCAGAGGCTCCTAGGAAGAAATACCTGGCAACCTACTACTGAAAAATCAGCCATTGAAATCCCTATAGAGACAGTTCTGTTCTGACACACATCAGGTCACTGAATTAGAACCATGATGGCAACTGGTTTGGTTTAAGAGAGTGGAAGTGCAACGATGTGTCTCTCCTCACCCAAAGCAAAGAAGAATGAAGAAAACCAAAGATTCAAGGAAAGAATTAGTCCTAGCAACTTGTACACCATGAGATCTGCAGCCTATATGACTAGGAGACCAGAAGAATTAGATGGTGCCCGGCTACCACTGTCAACCACTCAGAGAGGGATCTCTGTAGGAGGTCTGGATAGAGAGGGAAAAGAACAATGTGAAACAAAACTGAAAATCATTGGGGGAAAAAAGGAGGGGGGCACCAGGTTTGCTGGTCTGATAGAGCCTGGTGGAACCACTGAGACTATGGTCCCTAGCTGCCCTTCAGGTCTGGAATTGAACCCAGTCCTGTGGCTTCCAGGTAAACAAAAGACAGGCATATGAGTTGAACATTTACCTGAGGTAAATACACTCCTTGGAGAGAACAATCTTGGGAGAAAGAAGGACTGTTTATGCAGAGGGAGACATGTCGACATGTCTGCTCAGGAGGCAGGGATGCATGGAGGGATGGACACAGGAAAGAGGTGATATCAGAAGGAAGTGGGAGGGGAGCTGTTGTATTATGGTGAATTGTGGTCAATGTCATGAGACAGAGTGTATGTGAACTGCTGTATGGAAAGTGAATTTGCTCTGTAAATTTTCACCCAAATCACAATTAAAAAAAAAAAAAAGAGTAGAAGTGTACTAGCCAGAAGACTTGAGGTTCTCTTGAAAATTCAATTGTTGGCCTAGAAAGAGAAGATAGTTTGCCAGATAGAAATTGCAGAACAGAAACTTGATAATACTACTACCTTGATGTTTTTTGGTTTTTTAAAAAAGAAAGGCATGTCTGTCTTGTCCCTTTCCATAAATTACCACCAGGTGGCGATCATGTATTAGTCATCTAATAGTACACTAAACAAAATCACCAGACTGTTTTCTCCATCCACCTTCCAGAGCAACTTCAACAAAAAGACCAACAGATCCTACAGTTACTGGAAGAGAAGGAGACGATTTTCCGAGACATGACAGAGTGCAGCACTCCGTTGCCAGAGGAGTGCTCCCCAACTCACAGCTCTAGAATCCTCTTCCGGTCCAACACAGAAGAGGCTGTCAAGGGAGGACCTTTGATGAAAAGTGCGATAAATGAGGGTAATTCCCGTTTAGCATTACTAGGGAACAGTCTGTTCTTAAAGTGGTTTATGCACTAGTATTATCTACCAGCTTTTATTTCTTTGTTGTAAAATGAAACACAAGGGTAGAAACTATACAAAACCAATGTATCACTTAGTAAATTATTCTCAGGTGAGCAACCTTTGTAACCACTACCCCCAAATAAATAAATAAACAAACAGACCATGGCCAGCCACTCTCAGAGCTCCTCTCTGTACTCCGTACCCATCATACTCCCTCTGTCTCTTCAAAAGGGACCAGTATTGTGACTTTTATAATTATCACTTAATTGTGTTTTTTAGTAGTTTAATTGCCTAACTATTCTCAGATATTATAGTTTAGATTTGCATATTTTTTAAGAGTCTTAATTTATAATCCCCACCATCCCGTTCTTTTCCACACAATTTCTCCTTGAAGAATCTGACCTGTTTGACCAGTAGTTTCCCACAGTTTGGACTTTATTCATGCAGTGGTTCTGGTATCTTCAGTTTCCTTCAAATTTGCTGCTGAACCCAAAGCCAATTTGTTACAGGAAATTTGACATGAATATTTTTTCCATTGTTTATTATTATGTAAAATTAGGTTCCTAAGTTATTAGGAGAAGGCTTGGATCAGATAGCTCTTCTCACTCCACAGGACTCTTCTGTCATTTCCGTGTAGTGTTTAACTATATGATGGCTTATCTTGGGAGATTTCCTGTCTCTCTTTCTCTCCCATGTTCCATCTGGACCTTCTTTTTCCTTCATCCCTGTTGTTCTGTCCAGCTCAATTTTTATCCACTTTCAGTACTTTGTCCTCTGTGTGGAACCCTGCCCTAGGGAAAAACCATGCCTGGTCATATTCATGACTTCAGATGCTCCGACTCTTCTAGCTCCTTGAACTCATTCACTGTTAGATAGTGTAAAAACCCTGCCGGTCTTAGTTGCTGTTCTCACATTGGCCCACCTTGCTCTCCAGGGAATACCTTTTGGCTATTCTAGAAGCCATCCTCCTAGTAAATCACTTTGTCTTATTTACAATAAAGCTAAAAGTTTAATCTGTAAATTTTCAATAGAATCCAACTAAAACATACACCCTGAGCTAAGACTCCCACTCTGGGTAAAGGACATCACCCAGTCACTCCTGGAACTTGCTAATGTGTTTCCTGTACATATCATGGAATACGATGATTTTTTTTTTTTTTTCCTCTCATTGAAAGATAAGATGTCAGTTGGGCATGTTTCCTTTTTTCCAGTGGAGATCCTTCAGAGTTTGGTGAGTGGGAGCCTTGGGAGCACACTGGGGCCAGCCGTCAACACCCCTGTTGAACAAGAAGGCATGGTTGGCCCTGTTTCCTTGCCCCGGAGGGCAGAGACCTTTGGAGGATTTGACAGCCATCAGATGAATGCTTCAAAAGGTAAATGATTTAGAACTTGTATGTTTTTATCAGCAATCCTTAGTTATCACACATAACTAAAAAATGATCTCTAATCTAGTAGCCCCATTCTCTTTACCATTTAATCAATAAATGTTTTAGTGAGATCCAAATATTTATCTAGCTGCTAAAATACTCAAGAACCTTCCATCACATTAACTTTGAGTAAAAATTCATTCAGTTTGAAAAAGATTGTCGTGGGATCTCAGCTAAGCTGTAGCTAAAGGAGTAATAATTCTTGCTTTTCCTTGTGCTTCTAATTCTTCTGCATCAGTAAAATTGTTATGGATGATCATTTACCTGCCACCAGCTGGCTTCCCTTTTTTTGGCATTATAATAGAATTCAAAAATATCATACACTTAAGCTGTACATTTTGTTCTTTCCTTGGCCAGTCAGTTTCAAAACTTTAAAAAAGTTAAATAAAAAATTGTTTGTTTGTTCCTTTAGGAGGTGAGAAGGAAGAGGGAGATGATGGCCAAGATCTTAGGAGAACAGAATCAGACAGTGGTCTGAAGAAGGTATTTCTTTGTAAAATACTCTGTGATACTTGGCACTTCCCTGTGAGTTCATCGCCTTGGAAATCAGTACTCTTTGATCTTGAATTGGGTGCCAGTTTGTCCTGTTTTCAACTCCCACTTTATTTTCAGAGGAAAGCACATTTTTAAATCAAACAGTACACTTAAGGGTTTCCACTTTATTTGACCTTCCTGATGTAGAACACTGTGTTTACATACATAGCTCTACCACACCCCAGCCAGACCAGAGTTTCATGAAGAAGTTTGTTTTAAATGTTCTAAGCCAGCTGATTTCTTTACTGACTTCAGTAACAGTCAACCTCAAATCTTCATTATTTTGCAGTGAGAGGCTATAGTAGAAGAAAATGGGAAGCTGCAGCATAACTTAGAAGCATTTTGAATATTGAACATGGTTTTTACATTGTGATCTTCATTTTTTAATTTTTATTTTATTTATTTATTTTTTTATAGGGTGGTAATGCTAACCTGGGCTTTATGCTTAAAAGAAACAGTGAGGTAAGGACATTATGTATTATGTAAAAGAAGAATATGTTGTTGTTTTTTAACTTTTCCATTGTGATTTTGGTGAAATTTTACAAAGCAGATTTGTTTTACATTCAACAGTTGGTGCACACATTTTGTTTTGTGATACTGGTTACATTCCCAGCAGTGTAACATCTCACCTCCCACTTTCTCTGCAGTTACCCTTTCCTTGTGTCCTTCTTGCCTGTGCATTCCTGCCTTTCTTTCTCCTGCGCAGATGCTGCCCTTCTGTTCTCCCATGGTTGATTGTTCTAAGGAGTGCATTTCCCCGGTGCAGGTGTTCAGCTCATAGGCCTGTCTGTTGTTTGGCTGAGAGTTCAGCTAGGGAGTGAGGTCAAATCCAGGCCCAAAGGGTGGACCCAGGGCCATAGTTTCAGGGGTTTCACCAGGCTCTGTCAGACCAGTAAGCCTGGTATTTTTTATATTTAGTTTTGTTCCACATTTTTCTCCCTTTCTATACAGGATCACCAATTTTGATCCTTTTCTAAGTGGTTAGCATTGGTACCTGGACACCATCTAGTTCTTCTGGTCTTAGAATCATACAGGTTGAGGTTCTTTTGGTCCATTAGTCCTTTGGACTAACTATTTGTATGTGTCTTTGATTTTCTTCACTCTAATTTGCTGTGCAAAAGGAGAGACCAATAGTTGGCCACTTAGATAGTTATTCACAAGGTTTTAAGACCCCAGTTGCTACTCACCAAAGTAAAATGTAGAATAATATTTTCGTATAGCACATTGTGCCAGTTGAGCTTGATGTCTCCCACAGCCATGGTCCCCCTAGCCCAGCAACCTACTCACTCAAGGTACTTATTTGTGGCTAGGAAGTTACCCTAAGAATATGTTTCTCTTATCATTGTTTGATTAGGGATACTTGTTTTTGTTTTGCAGTTACAAACAAGATTAACTCTTGGCTATAATCTGTACAGTTGTCAGTTGCTTTACCTTTCATTCCCTCATCCCAGGACACCACCTGGAATTTGGCCAGTTAGGGTATTACCTACTAACATGACCTCTGATTCTTATCCTTAAGAAGCCTCTTGCTTTTAATCAACTTTCTAAACATTAGGCTGTGAATTACCTTGGTGATTTCTTTCAGGCTAAGGCACACTGCATAGAATATGTAGCAGCCCTTCATATAACACAAACCCAATGCCAAAAGCTACTAGTGTGAAACAGAGGAAATTAACTTGTGGGTAATTCTACACAGTGATTTCTTATGCTGAATGGACTCTGGGGTTTTCTTCCTTGAGAACTGCTTTTCAATAGATACATGTTTTAGCTATAAAAGTAGCCTTGCTGTTTTCCTAATTAGGAATCAGATTCTGATGATCCTCATTTCCATCTTCTTAAACTAACTTCCACTAATTCTGCAGGATAGTTGCATTTTGTTCACTTGTTCCTTACTCTCCCTGATTCATTCTTATGAAGTAATCTTTAAGGTTACTAAACCAAAAAAAAAAGTTGCCATTGAATTGATTCAGACTCATGGCAACCCCATGTGTGCAGAGAAGCACTGTTCCTTTGTTTTCAAAGCTGTCACCTTTCAGAAGTAGATCACCAGGCCTGTCTTTCCAAGGTGCCTCTGGGTGGTTTCAGACCGCCAGCCTTTCAGTTAGTAGTTGAGCACTTAACCATTTGCACCACCCAGGAACTCCTTGAGATCACCCGTCCTCAAAATTATTTGACTCGAAGCATGTGGCTTTCTACAGAGGCCAACTCGAATTAGTTAGATACATGATAGTTGATTTTCACAGTGTATTTTTCAAGGATGTTTTATATGTTTCTTACTGCTTTTAACATACTATCTCAAATTCCTGAGGAGCTTATTTTGAAATTTTAAATTAAAGGGATTTTTTTTTCTTTTTTCCCCTTAAAACACAGAAAGTTACTGTTTTATATTTATTGGCATGGCAGTCTACATATTGTGATGTCCTGAGGGAATCCCCTTCCATCTTTTTATCCTTAAATGAAATACACCTGGCCTGACACAGACGGCTTACTCTCTGTATCTGCTGCTTGAAAATTAGCTATTAGCTGATTTTTTTCCATTTGGCAACTTCTTCCCCTGTATTGAGTGAGAAGAGTCAGGGTATGAAATAGTTCAAGCCCAGTTTGTTTTCGGACACGTCAGTACACATTATATACTATAGATGGCCAATAAGACTTAGCAGATCTTGTGCGTCTTCCCTCCCACATTTTATTAAGAATAAACTTAATGAGAGGTAAACAGCATTTTCAAAGGAGCTAAGCCTTGTAATTAAGTTTTTGTGTTTTGTTTTTAAATTTTTTTTTTTTTTTTTTTTTAAAGTTTTTTATAAAAGGCATAGATGTTCCTGGCAGAAAATTTGAAAAATATCTGCAAATCTAAACATAAAAACGGAAACATAATCCCACCACTCAGAGATAATTACTGTTATATCTTTGTGTGTCTGAGTTTGTGTGTGTACAAATAGTATAGGGACAGTTTATACAGTTTGTATCAGTGCTGTCTCTAACTTTATATCCTGCTTTTTCTTCCACTCTCTTAAAATACATCATAAGCATTTTGCTAGGGCATGGGTTTTGCAAAACATGCTATTTGAAAGCTATATGTTATTATGTTGTGTACCATGACTTAATTTTTCCAATAGTTAATTCTTTGTCTACTTTTTCCTTTTTAAATAATCCAGCCAAGAACACCCTTATACATATATTTTTTGCACAGCTCTTTATGTCCTCAACATGCCAAATTACTCTCTAGATAGGAGATTATGTAGTGTTTATCACTACCTGTCAGGCATGAGAGCACCCATTGTCATTGTACATTCACCACCATTGAATATTGCCACTTTATAGTGATGTTTTTAGGAGCTCTGATGGCATAGTGCCTAAGGCACTTGACTGCTAACCAGAAGGCTGGTGGTTCAAACCCACCAGCCTCTCCTCGGAAGGAAGGTTGGGCAATCCTACTTCTGTAGTGATACTGCCTCGGAAACCCAAGGAGGGGTCTCTATGAGTTGGGGCCGACTCTCTGGCACATAACAACATAGTGATGTTTTGTTGATTTGACAACTTGCAGTGGTATTTATTTTCATTGATCTTATTTCAAATAATGCGTTATTTTTAATAGGCTTATAAAAAGCCTTTGTTATCTCTTCTAAATTGTTCCTTGCCTATTTTTCTACCGTCGTCGTCGTCGTCGTCGTCGTCGTCGTCGTCGTCGTCGTTGTTATTTGCCATTGAGTTGGACCCAACTCATAGCAACCCCTCCTTGGGTTTCTGAGGTAGTATCACTACGGAAGTAGATTGCCCAACCTTCCTTCTGAGGAGTAGCTAGTGGGTTTGAACTGCCAGCCTTCTATTTTTCTTACTGACTTATGAGAGCCTTTTTTAATTACAGATATTTTTCACTTGACTTCTGTTCAAGTTTAACCTTTGCCTTTTAATTTGATTTTACATTTTTACATAGTACAATATGGGAAAAAAATGGTTTTCTTGCATTGCTTCTGTGTTTGAAAAGCCTTTTCTATTTCAAGCTCAGAAAACATTCTCTTACATATTCTTCTAATTCTCTTCTATGGTTCATTTTTTACACTAAACATTTTAATCTATGTCTTTTTTTTTTTTTTTTTTTCCCTTGTGTGAACCAGGCTCTCAACTTAATTTTTCCCGAAGATTTACCTAAGTTTCCTCAGAACAATTAACTGAATATTCTCTCTTTTCCACTGATTGGAAATGCCACTTATTACCCCATACTAAATTCTTACAGTTTGTCTCTGGGTTTTTGTTTTATTTCTGTGTCTACCATTTTTGTGCCAGTCATTGTAAATAATGAAAGTTTTATATTGTATAGTACATCTTAATGTGTGCTGATGTCCTTCCTACATACACAGTTTATTGTTTGGTTTTTTTAGTCTTGTTTTGCATTTCCTGGCTACCTACACTTGCTTATTTTCTTTGCTGCTTTCAATTAGAAAATATTTTGTTAAAATGCAAGCACCTTGCTGTATTTTAAGGAAATTATCTTGTCACATAACCACTTAGTGTGATGGATTCCACAACTCATAAAACCCCCCTGGAATGGTGTCTCCGTTTTGTTTTGTGTGCAGGTCATCCAGAGTATCATTCATCTCCATGAACTTCTTAGCACTTTGCAGGTATGTGGCTTATCTTTCATTCTTCCACTTACCTGTTTAAAGGAAAACAGTAAAAGGAGTATTGTTGACCTAGATCTTTGAAATTTATAGGTTGCTTAGGATAACTGGGGTCCTCATACTGGACTGACTCTAATGATAAGAAAAGTGTTAAAATTTAGTAGTTGTAGTAACATCTACCTTATTAGAGTATAAGTGATGAAAAAATAGTGGACTTACAGGTACTATTTGACCCCCATGCCACAAAACACAGAGGGTACTAACATGCATTTAGGAAATAATTGCAATGTAGAAAGCCTTTAGTATGATTATAAGTTTACATATTCCATACTTCTATGTGATATTTCCATAGGGTGGCTGTGAAGTCATAGTCACTCTAGTGTATCCTGCCAACTACGCCAATTATTGCACCAACTGGTCCAGGGAAATTAAGACTGCCCTGCTTCTGATGGTAAATTATGGGGTGGATAATAAATCCCACTCCACACACCAGCTTAACATTTCAGCTTCCTTGTTGAGTTCTGACCCCAGCTGCCTCTGTAGTCTTTCTGTCTTTCATCCCTAGTCACCCAGGGCTAGATAAGCAGGTACCAGCCACAATCTTAGGAGTCCACATGATTCCATCCACTTCAGACCAGCTGGTCCCAAACTTGGGGTTTTCTTCTACTTTCTCAGGGTACCAGCTGAAAGCTCAGGAGTTCACGTGACTCTCTCCACTTCAGACTAGCCACCCCCCACTGTTCCCTTTGGGTCGTCTTATAATTCACTGGAACAACTCACAGAGCTCACAGGAAACACCATACCTGCAAGTAACAGTTTACTAGAACAAAAAAGAATAGGTGATCCAATTTGGTCTGGTAAGCCCTGTTCATTAGCCTCAGGTGCAGTCCAGCTTTCAGGAACTCGAACAAAAGGCCAAATTGCTTTTTGTACCTCACAGTAGCCCTCCCAAAAGAGCCACTGTTTAGTACTTCCCAGTAGTATTCTTAAACTCTGCTCATTTCCTTTTTTGAAAGTCTGTTGTTATTTGTTGGGAACTCTGGTGGCGTAGTGCCTAAGGTACTTGACTGCTAACCAGAAGGCTGGTGGTTCAAACCCACCAGCCACTCCTCAGAAGGAAGATTGGACAGTCTGCTTCCGTAGTGATAACTGCCTCAAAAAGTCAAGGAGGGGTTACTATGAGTCAAGTCCGACTCACTGGCAATGAATTTGTTGTTACTGTGTGCTGTCAAGATGATACTGACTCATAGTGATTCCTACCTCCCCCTTACCTCCTGAACACATGCACGCACATACACTCACTTGCCTCACCTCAGGCAATGCCAGTAACCTTAGACAGCTCTGACCAAGTTGACAAAAAACTGAGTTGCTGCACCTTTGACATTCCTATTTGATAATTGCCAGAGTTATCCTGGAGTGTTTTTACTAGCCCAGCTTAAAGAATGAGAGGAGAGTTGTAATCTGTCATAGTTACCAGTGGCTCCCCTCCCTAATACAGGGTAAGGAAGTGGACTAGAAGTTAGCTGCCATCCTGGGCCAGAGTTGAATTTCTTTCCTCCTCTACTTATCTCCTTCAGGGTGTGGTGTTACAGCAAGACAGCTACATTGAGGACCAGAAGCTGATGCTGAATGAACGGGCACTCACACGAAGCTCCTCCCGCCCCAGCTCTCTTATTGAGCAGGAGAAGCAGCGCAGCCTGGAAAAGCAGCGGCAGGACCTGGCCAATCTGCAAAAGCAGCAGGCCCAACACCTGGAGGAGAAGCGTAGACGGGAGCGGGAGTGGGAAGCCCGTGAGAGGGAACTGCTGGAACGTGAGGCTCGGCTGGCCCAGTGGGAGGAGAAGGTACAGCGTGGGCAGCAGGACTTAGAAAAGGAGCGAGAGGAGCTTCAGCAGAAAAAGGGCACATATCAGTGTGACCTGGAGAGGTTACGTGCTGCCCAGAAACAGCTCGAGAGAGAGCAGGAGCAACTGAAAAGAGACACAGAGCGACTCAGCCAAAGGCAAATAGAACGGGATGTCTGTCAGGTAATGAAGGCATTTATTTTCCCATTTTCAATTGACTTCTCTGCCATTCAGAGCCAAGCAAGATAAAGGAAGAGTTTTCTTTACCTGTTACTGGTATGACTCCTTAATGACTGATGCTAATTAAGAACCCTCTGTGTACTAAACACCATAGAAAGTAAGCAGATATTTAAACCCCTTTTCCTTTTTTCCTTTTTGCATCTGTTGAAGGCAGATCGGGAAAATGGAGGTGTTTGGGGTTTTTTTTGGCCAAGGAAGTTAATAAGCACCTCTAGCTGGACTGACACCTCCCTCGGCCTCCATCAGCTTAGTCTAGAAAAGCCTCAGCATGTCTGAGAGAACATCTGCTTTGCATCACATGAGAAATCAGGTGTGGGCCCCACCCTAAAGGAACCTGTAGCCTGATGAGGGAAACACACCAAAGATAAGAAACCCCCACACATACAGTGCCTGCTATCCCTGGGCAGCAGTAAATGGCTCTGGTGTAAGCCATTGAAAGGAGCCCATTTTGGAGGATCAGTTAGAGAGGAAAAAGCCCATCCCAGCAAATGAGTAGGAGGTAGCAACTCCCTTTTTAGGAAAATTATATTCATTCTTGTAGCTATTCAGATATCTGGACTCTGCTTAATTCCTGATTTGCCTTGCTACTGATGAAACCTTTCTTTTCTGTGGCTGCTAAATATATGAGAAGGATTTCAGGTATTCAGCACACTGACTCCAGAGTTTCTTTCAGTGATGTTCCATGCATATTCTGGAACACAGACACCTTATGGCAGATGGAGAGCCTGAGTTTATGTAAATCTACCTGACTGTTGAAACTCCTATCATGTTGCCATTTGATTGACTGACCTGGCCATGAGAGAAAATTAAACTGATAGCTTCCAGAGAGAGCAGTTTTAGCTTCTTGCAGAGGTTTTTAAATACATGGTAGAAGCAACAAATGTGGTCCCATTTTATGCTACAATGATTGATTCCACCCTATCCCCACAAAATCAGCTGGGCTGTAGCAAAGAAGGGCTCTGAGGCAGCTGAGCACAGATTAGACTGTTCCTTTTCACCTTTGGTTTGCCCTTTGCCTGGGCTCTTGATACAATCTTGGCTTTTCCTCTTACCTCCTAATCTGGGTGTGGGTGCTTCTAGTCTCTTTGCCCTGAAATAATTATCTTCCTCTTGTGTAAATCAGTCTTGTTTCTGGGAATTCTTTCTGAGCTGCCTCATCAAAAGTACTATGTCTTAGCTACCTAGTGTTGTTGTAACAGAAATACCATAAGTGGGTGGTTTTAACAAACAGAACTTTATTTTCTCATAATGTAGGAGGCCAGATTCAGAATGCTGGCTGCCAGCTCTGGGGGAAGGCCTTCTCTGTGTTGGCTCTGGAGGAAGATCCTCATCTCTTAGCTTCTGCTCCTGGGTGATCTTCACAGTGGCTTGGCACCTCTCTTCCCTATCTCTGCTTATTTGATTAATCTCTCTTTATATCTCAAAACAGATTGATTTAAGAAAGGCACACTCTACACTAATCCTATCTCATTAACATAACAAAGATAATCCAGCCCCAAATGGGATTATAACCACAAGGCTATAGAGGTTAGGATTTACAACACATATTCCAGGGGAACACAATTCAATTCAATCCATAACATGCTAGTAGTACTTTCATGATACTGATTTATATGCATGTTATAATAAAAATAGTAATGGTGTCAAAGGCAGTATTTTAAACACTTTGATAAGCACTGCTTTGGGGCGAGCAGTAAATGAAACTAAGAAGTTCCAAGTGTATTACAGTGAGTTCCCTAGAGTCCAAAGAAGTGGGCACACCCCCAGCTGACATCAGTGTAATTCAGCCAGCATTACTCAAACAGACACCAGGGATGCTGCTGGCCTCTGAGTTAAAACCCCCTTCTCTTGAACATGTACAGGTCTTGCATCAACATACCAATACCAAGGTGATGAGAATCCCATCCTTCTTTCCCAGTCCTGAGGAGAACCCCTTGTCTTCTGCACCTTCAATAGCCAAATCAGGCTCACTGGACTCAGAACTGTCAGTGTCCCCAAAAAGGAATAGCATCTCTCGGACACACAAAGATAAAGGACCTTTTCACATACTGAGTTCAGCCAGTCAGACAAGCAAAGTGCCCGAGGGGCAGAGCCAGACCCCAGCTTCCGCCTCCACCTCTGCCCGTCTGTTCGGGTTAGCTAAGCCAAAGGAAAAGAAGGAGAAGAAGAAGAAGAGCAAAGGGAGCCGCTCACAGCCCGGTGGTGAGTACACACACCAGGCCTCGCAGTGCCTGTGCTGTCCCTAGGTTCAGAAGAGTGGGGAGGTATTGGGTCTGCGGTTATAAAGGGTGCAATTTGAGCGTGTGAAAGCTGAATGTCGTACTTCTCACCAGACCCACTTGCTCTATTGGATTTAACACTAAGAACTCTAAATCAACAAGCATTTAAGAGCCTTCTCTGTGTGTGAAACATTGTGCAAAACACGGGTTTCATTTTTGAGGCATTTAGTCCAATTAAGGAACTGAAACTCAGCCAAATGAAACAGTGTCCTTCCTGTCTTTCTAGGCCTGTTCCAATAATTGATAAGAATAGCCAGTGTTTGGTGAACATTGTCCAAGATCTGATTTAATGATCAAAATGGCTGATGGGCTAGGTGGTCTAACCCCAGGAGAAATCAGGAAATTGAAGCTCAGAGAGATTAATGTGTCAAAAGGTCACAGATCCCAAGATGAAGTGGTGCTAAACAGGACCTTCCCAGTTCATGTGCCGCTTTTTCCCTGAATCCTTCTCCATTCTCTGCTTGGGATGGCTCTCTCCTGTCTGTGTGGAAGGCTAAAGAGAAAGTCATATTTTTTAGAAGCATGGCACCCTGGTGGCATGGTGGTTAAGCAGTACTCTGCTGCTAACTGAAAAGTCAGCAGTTTGAACCCACCAGCTGCTTCTCAGGAGAAAAAACCTGGCAGTCTGCTCCTGTAAAGATCACAGCCTCAGAAACCCTATGAGGCAGTTCTTCTCTGTCACATGGAGTCACTGTGAGTTGTAATCCACTCCAGAGAACACAGCATCATTTAGAAATAGAAGTGCTAGTTGTATGTAAGTTAAAGGCAGATTAGGTAGTGAAGGATATTGCCCAGTCAGCTGGGCCACACCAGCAAGCTATTCAGAGAGTTCATTGTTGTCACATGGGGTCGCTGCGAGTCAGAACAGGCTTGACAGCACCTAACAATAACAATGACATGTTGAAAAGAATATCACATATTATTTGTAAATTTCAGATAATTTATTACCTGTATCACAGAAGACTTGATTTGGGGGAGATGGTGGGGGAGCTAAATGAAAAGAACAACTTTTAGGTCAGTTTTTCTGAATTTCTTTTTGGTTCTTGGTTTGCCCTTTTCCAGATGGCCCTGCCTCTGAAGTACCAGCTGAGGGTGAAGAGATCTTCTGCTGACCTGTTTCCTCTCGCTGAGGCAGCTGCCTCCTGATCCATGGTCAGCAGCTCCACCTCTTCCCTGCATGCGCCGACCTCTTCTGTGTATGCCCACTGATGTCCTGCAGCAGATCCTTCCATGCCGCCCAGGTCCTAGATGAGGAGGAGCAGATGATCTGCAGTGTCCGGGTGGAAAAAGAGGTCCACTCTGAGCTTTGGCCATGGTTCGTGACTGCCAAGGGCTCAAGGGTTGAGGCTGGCTTTGTTAAAGATGTTACACTGAAAGTAGTGACCCTCATAGTACCAGTGAAGATTTCAGACATGTCAGGAATTTCTGTTCCTGAAGGCTAAAAGAATGTTTCCTAATGAAGTCTAAACCCTGACACTCTTTCATTTTGGGGGACACAACCAAAATCAAGCAGCAGACGGTTTGGACTTCCTCTGTACATGTACCCATTTGCATATACACATAGGGCTTGTCAGAATTATGCACAGTCTGCACTGGACATCTGGCCAGCTTTGCTCAGCCCAAGAGGGACCGCCTGACACCGATCAAGTGGCAGGCATGTGGATGTTAAGTATTTCACACGGTAATTCTCAGAGTATGACTTCCCATTAAGCCCTCCCAGAGCATACTTCACCCCTTCTTTTGCACATACTTCCCATTTCAATGTAGAGGGAATGACAAACATTTATGAAAGCCAGTAAAAAAGACTTGGTGTGTGTAAGACACGTACAACCTGCACCACCTTGATCTTGATATTTCAGACATTCAAAAAGTATCTAATTTCATCATCCAATCTAGAAGAAATTGTATATTGGTGTTCTAAGATTTTTCCCACATATTCTGGGCACAGATGAGGTAGAGAAGTCTTTTCACCATTATCCCTGTGGTGTTGACACTTTCTGGTTGTCACTGACCATTCAAAAGTAGCCACAGCTTGTTGGCAGTCTTCCTGAGCCCCATCATGGCCCTCCAGTGGGCACTCAATGGGGGAGCACACCCTGTTGGTACCTCTCCACTCTGGCTCCTCCCTAGCCTGGCTGGCCCAGCTCCCAACCAGGACCAGGCAGGAGCTATGCTGAGGCCTCTGCAATGGTCTCACCCCTGTACCAGGACAACTGGCTGAGAAGTAGGTCTGGTTAAAGGTGTTATACCCATATGTACCAGTTTCCAGCAGTGCAGACCACGGGAGGAGCTGGCCCAGAAAGTGGGGCTGGGTAAGCTCTCATTATACTTCAGGAGGTCGTGGCAAAATTGTTTATTTGTTTTAAACAATTTGAAAACTCTAAAGGTCTGCTATTATTAGTTGTACAATAACCCCTTCAAAGATGTCACAAATGCTGCCTGTTTGTTTTGTTTTGCTTTTCTCTTCTCCCTCTTTCCACTGTGTTTTAGTCTTTATTTGCTTAGACTCCTCACCAGCTGGTATGTGCAGGTCAGTTCATCAGTAATGCTCCCTTGTGAGTACCAGCAGCCTCTGAGAGCCCCTCTTCCTGTCACGCTTGGCGCTCTTGCTGAAGGGAGACCTGGGAAATTCTGTACTTGAGTTGTGGCCTTTGACTCCTGCATTTTGCCCCTCAGGCACATGGGGCTTTGAACCGTACTTTAGAAATCAAATGAAAAAAATCTGTAACATGGTGCTTGTTAAAGAATTGCAAGCTGGCCTTGCAGATGGAGGTATTTATCTTTCAGTTTATTTGAAAGAGGTCTGGTTTAAAATTTTTAGCTTAAATTTGTTTTATTTATTTTTTATGTGTATTGTTTTCAGGATGAACATACTAGCCCAACGGTTTAGGCTGTCTGATCATTGTAGACTTGAGGTCGCATCCAGCACCTCTTCCTCCTCAGTGTCTCTCCAAGTGCCTTGAAGGCTCAGGTGAAGAAATAGGGGTCTATTTCATTCCCACTCCATTCTTCTGTCAAAGGATGTCATCTTCCTTGTTTGAGAATTCAAGAAACTTGCCACCTATGAGTTACATTTGCCTACTTTTGTCATGGAGGTTTCTTTCCCATCAGAAATAATCTTAAAAACACAATCAGCTGATTCTCTGTTGGAACCGTGATGCACCCATTGCCCCGCCCCCTGAAGAATCTAAACAGCAAAAAGTTAAGTTGCTCCCTTCCACCACTCCTTAAATTCCGAGTTAAAACTAATGCCTGCCATGACTTTGCTGTGTGCCAGAGCCCAGCTCTCTGTTCTGTCACTTGCCCTGTGTCCCCCCAGGCTCCATCCCCACAACGAGAGGCGCCCCCAGGAGGGGAAGGACTTGGCTCTACCTGGGTTCTTGGGCCCATTGTCGGTACAGCTACAGGAAGGGCAATATTGAATCAGCCTGGCATGTCATCTTCCTCTAGATGTGGGTGGATGACCTTGTTCTCCAGGTTTACACCAGCGAGGGGTTAGCACTAACCAGTGTTAACTCTCACGCAGGCTCTTCACAGAAGCGCTGTGGACAATGGAAGTTACTGTACAGTGCTGCACAGCTCAGTGTGGATTTTCAAGTGTCTTTATACCCAGATAGCTATCATGTAATTTTGTTTGGGTAGTGGTTTTTGAAAATGGCTGTTTTACCTCCATCCACACTCTACTAACTTACAACCAGTTGGTCAGCTTCTGGTTGGCCAAGTTTACAATCACAAACCTGCGTTCATTCAGGAATCTCGCCTGCAGTAGAAAGGAGAAGCTGCTTCCTATGCACTGTGCTTTTATGTGCCTGTGTCATCTCTCTCCGCCTTTGAAACTGAACCCAGTGGGCTCATACTGTCGTGCTTGGGGAATTACCTGGGGTTGTTGCTGCTTGTGCTTTGACCTTGACCTTGAGCGCTGTGCTGGTTACTGAGTCTGCAGCCCAGTCTGCCTTTCTTGCCTGTGAGAAGGGGTGGTATTCTTGCTTGTGACTCAGATCCACTTCCCCAGTGTCTTCTCCATGCTGGGACGTCCTGTTTCTCCACCAAGCTGGAGAAACTACATGCCTGAAACTGTGATTAAGTTTTGGAGAGTAGTTGGCGACATTCTCCGTAGAGTCCCCAGATTTCCAGAATCTGGCAAACTCCGTGGAAGGTGCCACGTATTCCCTCGAATCAGATCATCTCAGTGTTTTCATCCCAGCAGGTGACATGTGCACTTTAGTTGCTCTCATCAGTTGGCTTCATTTCTGAGACAATCAAGTATAATAACCGTTTACTTCTTTGAAAACAGAGGGTTAAAGAACAAGCCAGTCACCATAGATCATTCAACTTTTGCCAACATTCCAACCTCTGCCCCTATGAGAGCTTTCTGTGGAAAAGAAATCCCTATTAAGATTTTTTTTTTTTTTTTAAGGTACGAATCTTACCTTCCCCTCCCCTCGTATGTCTCAGGGTGATACCACTAAAAGTTATCCCTTTGCTAAATTTCCCCCTTTTTGTTATTTCCCAAGGCCGCAGTATTAGTAGTAAGCACAGATTTTTAAGACCCTTAGGGTTTTGTTTGTTCCTTTATTTGAAGGGGTGGATATTAGCAGGTAGGGATTCAATAAAATAGGCTCTTCTTAAATGTAGAGTGGAACCATAACCATATATAGGCCAGAACTTGACCCAGAAATTACTGTCCATCAAAGTGCTTTGTATTTCGTTCTTTAGTCTCTAAGGTTCTTTTGCCCATAGGCGGTTCTTTCTTCCCAAGGATTAAATATTTGTGGTGGGAGCTAAAGTGTCTTCTAATATGGGGATATGGCCAGTTGTGTCCCGAGGATAGCCAACCCCAGCTTCCTATTCCAGGCAGTCCGCATGGATAGGCTTCAGTGGCCATAAGGAAGGCAGCTCTGAGGTGACAACAGGCAGTGCTAAAGAATCTCTCTACCTGCATACATGGACCCTGTGAATTGGAAAGCCTAGAAGAGCCCTGTAGGTGAAATGGTGGTGATGGTTGGCAGACAGCTGTGTGCTCGCCATCCTCCAGCATGGCCATGTACATCTGCAGAGGTCCTGGGGGTCATGTGCGAGCCTTGCACTGCTGGCCCTGATTTATCCTCAGGAGTCAGGAAGGCAAAGAGTTTGTTTGGTTTGGTTCTTAAGTTTTCTTTCAATGTAGCATAACATTCCTAGTTAACCAGAGTTTTAGAATCTACTACCTGCTGGCCAGGTTTTTAAAACAGAAAGTATTTTAATGCTGCCATAAAAGAAAAAGAGAGAAAGCAAAGGCATCTTTCCATGTTCTTACCTAATTTAAATTGTCAAAAGATTGACAGGCCATGAATTATTTTCTCCATCTTGTTAAGGTTTAAAGATGGGCAAACCCACTGGCAAAGAGCTCTCCTGCCAAATGAAAATTCATTGCAACCCGTTTTAAAAATCAAAGCTGACACCCAGCCTGTGCTGTGGGTGCCTGCTACTCCCTGGCTTCTGTGGAAAGCACAGCACGCTGTTTACTCCAAGCTTTTCACTCAGCTTAACCTTTCCTGTGCCTTTTGTCATCCATCAGGGATGGACAATGCAAAAGCACCAAGAAGGGACATATTCAGTGAGTTTGCCTGTGGTTAAAGTTCAGCCTTGTGGTTTCCTATGTTTTTCGTAACCCACATAGGGTACACTCAGTGTAAGGCGCTAGGACATGCAGGAGGGTAATTAAAATACACCTCATACCTCTGCTTTCATTTTTTGTTTTCAAATGCAACATGAACATTTCCGTGCTAAATTCTGTTAAAGAAAAAGATGGGTTAAAACCCACATGCTGTATATTAATTTGTAATTATGTACAAAGTAAAGCAGTTTTAAACTGTAAAGATTTTTTTCAGTGTGTTTTCTGGAATTTTGCCACAACATACTGGCTTTGTATTTTATTTATCTTCCTTTCTAGTTACCGGCTTCAGACTCTTGTAAAGTCCCCCTCAACCCTTTCAAAAAAATAAATTTCCTTTTAAGTCTTCCTTGTTGCTGTGCCTTATTCTTGTGCCTGTGGGCTTCCTTGAGAGAGTCTTACGGTAACCTGGGTTTCTGGAAAAGGTTATCTCACCCAGCCTTAATTCTAAGGGGAACT